AGTAAACACAGCCTAAAGCTAGTATATATAATGCTCTCCTAAATTATATATTTATATTAACAAATTTAGTGTTTAAAATTTGTGCAGAATGTAGCAACGTTCTTAGCACTCTCGTGAACTAATCACAACAATCATTTATTAATTTCCCGGCCTCTAACTTTTTCATTTGAATAAAACAATCATGATCCAAACAAACTAAAACCATCATCTATTATTTAATTTCATCGGTAACCTGACGATTCGTGAGAGCGCATTCAATGACTCAATGATCAATCGAAATGTTCAGGATTCAGGCCATTCGATCGATTATTTTCTTCTTTTTTTTCTTAGGCATTCGATTCTTACATACTGCAACTGATACTGCGCGAGTAGTAATTTGCTCTGGAGCAAGACGACGCATTGATAGTATACTCATCTGATTTCGCATCGCATGCGAGGCTCAAAAGCTTGGGCTCGCAGCAGTGTCAGGTCAGTATTGTATGCTCCATGTACGATCGATCTCGAGCAAAGACAAGAATTGAAGGTAAACAGCTGTATGCTACGGGGACCTGTATGGCTGTTGTTGCATGCGCCTAAGCTCTTGTCAGTGATCCAGTTTGATCCTGGCCGGAGCTGCTTCGATCGTTTTCAAAATGCTTGTCAGTGATCCAGTTTGATCCCGGCCGGAGCTGCTCATTTGATTTGATTTCTGCTTTGATCATTTTCAAAATGTTTTGTTTACACCTGCCTGCATGATGATCAGAGAGAGTCAGGATGATCAGAGAGATTCAGAAGAGTGTAGCTGTTCCAGCGTGAACGATCGATCGAGATCGCATTCCTTCTTTTACACCACCGCTCTACTACTACTACGTGATGCAGGAGCCGTACTACTACATGGGTACCTGTTCGTTCGTTTGCAAGTTATCGCCTTTGTCCGTTTGTCGATTCGTGGGAAAATACTAGTGCAAACCAATGGAAACACTACCGTTAAATCGAAAAATGGATGTCTGAGATTCGTCTATGTCACCATGAGTTAAGATTTTAACTCCCAATAAAATTTTAACTCATGAGTGAATCCACGAGTTAAATTTTAACTTATGGTGACGTGGATGAATCTCGGACGTCCATTTCTCGATCCAACAGTAGTTTTCAATTTTCCACTACATATATGGTTTGCACTACATATTTTCCTTCGATTCGTTGCCTGCCTTCATTTGTTTATTTATTTCATCTCCGGAGAAAGCATTGCATGCATGATCAGATTCATGCCAGCAACCAATTCACCCAAACTCATACCGGACTGCTGCTAATTGTACTACTCCTTCCGTCTCAATATACTCAGGCCGAGTTTAGTTTTAAATTTTTTCTTCAAACTTTCAACTTTTCTATCACATCAAAACTTTCCTACACATACAAACTTTAAACTTTTCCGTCACATCGTTCTAATTTTAACCAAACTTTCAATTTTAGTGTGAACTGAATACACCCAATATAAATGTAATCTGGTATAGATGTGATATATCCTGTACTGTAAATTGAGGGGGGATGTACTAATTCAGTCTGATTTCATGTGAGCAGCCAATTTTCTGATATCCTAATTTGCTGCTAGTGTACTTCTTTTGTTTTATTCCATTAGTTTCAAATTAAGTATAGCAACTTCTAACGTCTAAAGTATCGCATAATAATAGTAACTTGTTCAACTACTTTCTTGTCTCCACTAATCTCACAATCACCCCTTATTTAATTTCTCCACATACTTTTTCATCTCAGCCAGTCAAAAACATACTCACATATATATTCAATTGTCTCTCCTTCTTAATTCCGAAATTGAAAGTTCGGTTGAAATTGGAACGATGTGACGGAAAAATGGGAAGTTTGTGTGTGTAGAAAAGTTTTTGATGTGATGAAAAAGTTGTAAGTTTGAAGAATTATTTTGGAACTAAACACGGCGTCCCTTAAAAACTCTAGAAGCAATAACATTTTTGACGAATGAAATAGTACCATTATTTAGATACAGTTGCTTTCTGTTATTGCCTTTTTAAGAGTATTTTAACTTCTGTGAAATATACTCCGTACTGTCCTACTATTATCCGAGGGAAACTTTGGTTGTCCCTGCATCGATCGATCGATCGATACGCGCGCCATGCGTGCATGCGTACGCCAAAAAGAAAGAAAGCTGACTCGCCGCGCACGCGCACGAGCACGAGCACGCACAAACGACGCTCCAATTATATGCGTCCCAATGAACAGTTCTCTATTTATTTATTTTTTACGAATTGGTATTGTCAAATTTTACTAATTTTTTTTTAAAAAAAAACTGTACCAGCATGAACTTAATTATACAGGGTAAAGCGTACAGTAGTGAACAGTACAAGGTGTGAGGAGGCATTCAGAAAATGTGCAGAGACATGGGGGCTAGTTTCATTCAGTTCAGTTCAGCAAATAGTTTGCTTTCCGATCGCAACAGCGACAATATGTGCATTTGCAAATTATTGCTGGTTGACAATCGAGAGGAATGTGTCATGTGTGTGTGTGTGTGTGGGGTAGCAGCATCGATCTACAGCGAGCGAACTTCAACCAGCATCAAATGCCTGCCTGACAATTAGTTACATCTAACACAGTAACACTGTTTCAGCACAGTTATGCCCTTGTCTGCTTGTTTGTTTCTTGCAAGTTGCAAATTCCTACCATGGCATGCTGCTTTCTTTTCTTGATCCACAGGGAGGGCTAGCAAGCCAAAATGCCAAATATACAACCAAGGTAGGGGTGTGTTCTTAATTTCATGAGTGAAACCATTCTATTCAGCATACAGAATGATTTATCGTAAACTTTTTAAAAAAAATTATAAGAAAACTGTTTTAGATTTATTTTGAACTTCCTAATAGTTAATTCATTCGTTTATACACTAGAATAGTTATAACAAAATCATTTAGCTATTTAGTCATTCGACTATTCAGAATAAGAAAAACATGCTCTTGAATAAAAACATGGGTTACGTTTGCAGACCCTATTTAAAAGTCTAATTACTGATTTGATCATACTTTTTTCAGTTTACTTATGTGGCCTCCCTTTTCAAAAACGAAAGCTAGGTTTGACTCTATTCCGTAAACATAACATAACAGTATTAACTCAAGGAAAAAAATATCATTTATGCCCTTGCTCATTTGATCATACTTCTCAATGGTTTTTGTTTCATTATAATCAATATTGATAAGTGTTTGACAACTATAATCCCATACTCTCACCGTCCTATTTTAAGCATCGTTGTGGGTTTCCGTGTCCATTGTTTGACTATTCGTCTTATTTGAATTTTGCTGTGATCAGTATTTTTATTGTTATTAGATGATAAAACATGAATACTATTTTATATGTGACTTTTTTTATTTTTTTCATAAATTTTTCAAATGAGACGGACGATCAAAGTTAACAAGAAAACCAACAACTGCACTTAAAATGAGACGGGGAGTACTAAAGTGTTTGGCAGAAGTAAAAAGTTGTCATTCCAAAAGAACCGCTTATCTATGGATCCCGCTACCTTCAACCGCACCACCGCTTGTTGACTTGTCGTACGTTGTCCTCGGTTGGATCAAAGAGGAGAAGCACCACCATCCTGCAGCCTACAACCGTGCTACCGTCCTCCCCGTTCGGATTGAGAAGGAGGAGTAGTGCCGCCACCCGTCGTCCTCCCCGTTCAGATCGAAGAGGAGCGTCTGTGGCCGCTAAGGTCTACCACTACCAGGCTACCTTCCCTGACTCGTCACTCACTGCCACATACGTCGACCCATCGCTTCCAGATCCACTGCCTGTGTGCCTCCATGCCCCCAGATGCATCGTTGAGCCTCCGCCACATCCACTTTGTCGCTCCTCATCGCCAGCCACCGCCACCGCTGCTCCTCCTCGTCATCGAGCCGCTGTCGCTCCTCCCCTGCGACCTCTGCACGACTGCTTCTATATGAGGAGGGCGACAGGAGGAAGCTCTCCTTCAGGCTCCGATTGGAGTGAAAGGAGGAGAGGATAAAGATGGAATAGTGAGAATTTTGGAAACAGTGTTTATGTGTATCCAAGGGCATTTTGGTCAATTGTGGCACATAAAATTTTTTCTTCTAAGGGCAAGTACTATGAGCATCTATATGTTGTCCCTAAATTTATCATATAGGATTAGATGATGAGGTGGATAAGAGAAATTAGGAGAGAGAGAATGAGCCACCCCTCATGGAAGGAGCAACCTCAGACAATCTCTAAAAAAATTACAAGATGATGTGAGAGTGAACTAATATTAGGATTTGTGTATTAGATGTGATATGTTGTATTTGTCACATCTTAATCAGTGAGAAGATGACATGGTTTAAATTAGATGTGGTATTCACCTCCACTATAAACCTTGCCCTAAATGAATTAGCTTGTGCATATAGAGGTCCGCCAATTAAATTTGCTTGTTGATCGGCCTCTTCGTCCGGTCGATGAAACATCGCATCGGGGATTTGCCTCTCTGGGCCCCAAATCCGCCACGCGGGTGGAAGCCCACAAACGAAAACTCGTGTGGATCTTAGCCCACCACGGTCGTCGACCTCGTGGTGTGAAGGAGAAATTTTGTAATTTAAGTAACACTTTATTCGTGACCAATTTACTTAAATTGATACTCCGTACTTGTCAAGAAGTCGAAGTTAATTTCCAAAGTGTTAAATTAGGATGGCAGAGGGTGTGGTTAGTTCCTAAAAAAAGTTAGAAGTTTGAAGAAAATTGAGAGTTTAGAAAAAAAAAGTAGAAGTTTATGTGTGTAGGAAAGTTTTTGATGTGATATGATGCGATAGAAAGTCGGGAATAGGGAGAAAACTAAACACGGCCTTACTTGCACGGGAAAAATGCTAGTGGTCCCAAGTAAATTGCAGCATAATTTGCATTCAGTCACGACCACACGATTCGCAAGATTCAGAGAAGGAAATTCTTGTAGGTATACACCCGTATCGTATAGTCAGCCACATTTCTCCCTACTTTTACTTTTGAATTTGATTTCTCTCCAGTTTTACTTGTGAGAAAGATATGGTTTTATATTACTAGCTCGTAGTTAAAAGTTTGAGAAGTGAACAACAAGCTCACACGCTGCTTTGTTCCATACTACAGTGAAAATAAAAAGTACAGAGAGGAAAGCAAAAATAGTTGTCTCTTTTCTGCAAACTACAAGACGAGACGAACAGCGGACACGTCACTGTTCTCTCGGGGAGTCCCGAACGCTGCCACGTCATCGACAATCTCTCAGCCCGCCACGTGGCACGCGCGTGTCACCTCGCCGTCGTTGTTTTTTTACACTATAAAGGTCGGCGGCTCGACGTCCGGCGGCGTCGGCTCCGGCACGACCTCGGGTGGCGGCCTCGGCGGGTCCAACTCCGGCGGCTTCGGCGGCGGGACGTCGGGGTTGCGCGGCACGTCGGGGACCTCTGGCATCGGCGGCGAAGGGATGGACGGGCCCGGCTGCTCCGGCCCGGGCGTCGGCGCGCCCGGCGGCGGCATCGGCACGTCCAGCCCCGGCGGCGCCTCGAACTCCGGCGGCGTGTCGATGCTCGGGAGCTCCTCCAGCGACCGGTCCGTTCCCGGCACCTCGGCCGGCGGCGTCCCGCCGCACCGGACGCCGACGGCGGCGCGCCGCGCGGCGGCAGCGCCCACCTGCGGCCGGTGCAGGCAAGAGCGCGCCGCCGCCGCCGCCGCCGCGCCACGCAGCAGAGGCAACGGCGTCGTCCTCGCCGCCATTGCCGCCAAGATCGGGAGGCTAGATGCAGCAGCCATGCCAATCGCCAAGAACCATTGGAAGGTTGGAGCAGCCTGATTGACCTCGCCGGCGTCGCCGCCTTATACCGGCTTCTCCGAGCCGACACGTGCGGTCACGTGGCACGCTCGCCATGACGCGGCGCCTCGCTGACGCGACACGTATCCGGCGTGCCAAAACGTGCTCGAATCAAATCGCGACACACACGGACAGTGTCACGATTCTACTCGAAACACGAAATCCACATGAATTTTACTGAAATTTTTTACATCAACTCTCCAAGCATCTCATGTTAGGTTCTTGGGTGAGGATTGAATGAATGATAAGAACCCTACCTTCGACACTTAAAACAGAGTAATAAATTAGGGTGTGATTAATTAATTATTAGCTTAGAAAATTTTAAAAATAGATTAATATGATTTTTAAAGTAGTTTTTCTATTTTTTTAAAATACGTATTTAAGTAGTTTAGGAAACGTGTTTGCGGTAAACGATATAGTGAGGTTAGGAACTTAAGAACATAGCCTGAATGAGCCAAAATGGAACACTAGAAATGAAAAGTCAGTACAAATCCAGTGAGCCAAGGACAAAGAACGCAATGTTCTTCTATGTGTATATATCTCTCACTCTCTCCACAGTGACACAGTTCTACACGAACTACATGAGATGGGAGAAGATTACAAGTTTGTAAAAATTTTTCAAAGAGCATCAGCAACATTGCCGTTGCGAACAAAGAGGTTTTTGATTAATCTCTCGAGTAAATTAACCTGAAGCTGGAGAAGGCCTGATCAGTAGTAGAAAACGAAACGAAACGAAAGTAATCATCGCGAGGACAGGAGACGCCTGAGCTGCAGCAAGTGTTCCTCGTTGGAGATGTTCAGAGACAGTCGAAGATTCGTCAGCAGCGACTCCTGCTCCCACGTCAGTGGCCCCGACGCGTACAGCGCTCGCATCGTCGACTGGTACGCCTCCAGCTCCAGCTCGTGGACGGCAATGGCCGCCGGCTCGTCGTCATCGTCTTCGTCGGCGGCGGCGGCGGCGGCATCGTCATCCTCCATGCCGGAGGTGCATGGGCACGCGGACATGGCGTCGTCAGGGAAGCCGAGAGATTGGAGCTTCTTGGCGTTGGTGAAGGTGGTGTCCGGGTCGTTGATGCTGCAGCTGGCCACTGAACATTCGGCCTCTTCTCTGATGAACTGGAAGCGATTTTGAGTCGTTGAGCCATCGAGCACACAGGCCCTGGATGCATTTTCAGGCCGTGATGTTCTCCTTCTTGGATTGAAGGATGTGTCTGCAGTTGATTTTCTCTTCTTGTTTGTTCTTCCAGGCAGAGCATCAGATGGAATCTGGCCTCTCTGCGCAAGCTTAGCTTCAGATTTCTGTAGTTCAGAGCAAAAAAGAAGATGACTGTCAGTGCATTTCCAGTAAAATGTGGTGCTAATTATCATCGTTCTGTTCATTTGGCTCCAAGAACTAATACAAGCTCAACAATGCAGCAATTTGTGTGAGGCTGTGTGATGAAATTGATTCATTTCATTATGTAGTTGGATGTGCATAACTGGTAGCTAATGGCTACCAAAATCATGAAAGTCTGATAAACAATGCCTGAAACTGTAATTTCACCACAACATAAACTAGCATTCATGAAAGAGATATGAACATATAAATACTAAGAAAAGCAATTGTGCAATGATTGGTTTGAAAAAATCACAATGTAAAGCACCTACACATGCCTGAGGAACTGATGTTACCTTATCTGCCACAGAATACTGGTTGTTGCTATGAGGTGATGCAGGAACCCTCAAGCTAGAAATGTGAAACTCCTTCAGTTGAATGCAGTCAGCAAGCCTGATGACGAAGTAGTTGTTCTTCAGCATCTTTGCGATTTTGCCGAGCTTCCATGTGTTGCGATCCAGCACCTCAGTTACATCTCCAATGATCCATCTGCATCTTGTCTGAACAACAGCTGGCTGATTTGCTCTAACAATATCATAATCCATTTGCACGTTTCTTGCCCCAAGATTTCTTTCGGATGTGAATATCAGGTCGCCGTCCCTAAAGATTTCTTCAGCTCTATTTTTCAGCTTCATGATTCTACTCCTGAGTCCTGACTGAACCACGAGGAAAAATTTCAAAATGTTCATTAGCATCAGCATGAACAGAGAGTTAATAACAAAAGAAAAGCAAATCATGATTGAGTCAAAAGATCTATTCACATTCATTTATCATTGCTAGCCAACACCCATTAGGAAAGATCACCCAAGATGCACAACAGAAATGTAGAACAGAAAGTATATGCAGTATGGAGAATTTTAAAGACAGAAAGTCAACACCAATTCAAAAGGAAATCCATCTCCAATTTCAAGCACAGAACAAAAGACAACTGCTCAAATTCAGAAGCTGGACATTCTTAACACAAAGTCAATACCATGTCACGCAGGGTACTGAGGATAGATCAATCCCCTAATCCGGATCCAATCGAATTTCATTATATCATCTCATAATCAACAAATACGAATCAGAAATGTAGGAATAACGCACAGATCCAACTTGGACCATACTATTGAAAAGAACAAAGGAATTTGAAAGCAAGACACCCGATTGACTAAGTCTAGAAAAGGGGATTAGTTTTCATGAATAAAACAACATTTAACAGTAACATACTAGACTTGGTTCCAGTCCTGATTATCAAAATACTCGATTCAAATTTCCAGCAAAAAAAAAAAACCACAACGAGAAAAAGAAGAGGAATCCACGGAACTACGAAAACTTCCAACCTGTACCAACTAACATTGGGCATTAACGATCCAGATAATCTGAAAGAACTCCCAACGAAGACGAACACTTTGGAGAAACCAAGAACGAGATTCCGAACTGGGAACTGGGAAGCGTCAGCTCAGATTGGAATCAGGAACGCAAAGGAAGAACTCCGAAAGATCCAATCTTTGCCACACAATCTACAACAAGACGAGAAATTTAGCGTGAAAGGAATCCAATACCAACAGCTCTGAATACTTCTCACCTGCAACCGAGGCAGTCAAATTCGCCCTTCCCAATCGACGAACACGAACGAAGCAGGCAACCTCTGAGTATTGTGGATTCCGATTTTGTTCTCCCAATTGGGTTGCTCGAACCCAATTGGGATTCACCGAAGAGGTGAAGGCCAGGGACAGCAGTTCTGGTAAAAGAAAAAGGAAATAAACAAGCTGAAAAAAATTACCACCACCGAACTCCAAAAATAGGCCCAAAAAACAGGAAATTTGATGTGGAAAATAATGGAGAGAAATTTGGAGACTAATCGGAGACCAACCTTGCAGGAGCGGAGGATTAATCAGGCGGTTACGAGGCGATCTGGAAGCCTGAGTTTGAGGGCCAGGACCTTGGAAACGGCGTGCTCGTTGGCTGCGTACATGGGCTTGGCTGTTCTTTGGCTCAGTTCTTGGCTATTGCTTTCTTTCTTTTTCTTTTTCTTTTCCCATTTATTTTTGTTTTTATTTTGGCGATTTGATACCTTAAAATCTGTGTATTTTAAGACCCAATGACAATGGTTAATCCTACATATAGTTTTCAGATAGCTGGGACAAATCCAGAAATTCCAAATGCCTAAATGACTTGTACTACTATTCAGGGCCCATCATGTTCCAACCTCCAAAAGGATCAGCTGCTTATTACTCACGAAATGAACATTTTTCTTTTTGTTAGGTTAATTGAACAAGTATCCAGTGGCAGTATGTCGCGATTCTACCGTTCCATGATTTGCCGTAATTTGGTAGTAAAATATACATCATTTGCTACCGTTCAACATTGGATCTCTCAAATCAATTGTTACCCATCAAGTTTAGGAAATTTGTTGAGAGTTCAAACCCCTTTTTTTTAAAAAAGAAATAGTTAAGTATTGCATCCGGTTTGTTTCTTCTGTAAAAAAAAAAAAGAGACGGCAAGAACAAAGGATGTCACTGTAAGGGAAGATTCTTTTTTAATGGCAAAAATATACGGTTGCCTTTCTCATATGCTTATGCAGATTTTGTACATCACGCTCGTCAAATTTGTTGTTCCTGTTTAATTTAGAGGACAACGAGGGAATCTGAGTTGCTTTGCTTGACAGTCATACAAACCCAATATTTTTCGTTTAGGTGAGCTGGCCTAAACTATTCCATTATTATAGTTTTGTACCGTTTATATCCAACGTTTGATCGTTCGTTTTATTTGAAAATTTTTATAATTAATATTTTGTTGTTAGTAGATAATAAAACATAAATAATATTTTTATGTGCGACTATTTTTAAAAAAAATTATAAAATTTTTAAATAAGATGAATGGTCAAATGTTAGACAACACTTAGGTATGAAGATAGATACAGAGTAGTACTGGTAGTAGTTATTTTTCTTAAAAAAAATATTAGTGCTAGCTTTTTTTTCACAGAGATGAAACAGCAGCAAGGGTGTGAGTATATCATCATCACGAATCTCAGATAGGTTACTAACTCCGTCCCAAAATATAGTAATTTTTAGCTATGGATCTAGATACGCAGGTGTCCAGATTCATAGTTAAAAATGCTTACATTTTAGACGGAGGTAATAGTTGACAAGCTTCTTTACGCCTTGAGTCTTGACAAGATGGAACCTACTGTTCACCAAGATAGATATGTTCAATGGACTGAACACTTTTTTGTCATTTCCATCTCTACACAAAAGGTGGGTGGCCAGCTTGGGTACTTACTGTTGAATCGTCAGCTGCAAGATAAGTTTCACGTTGATAAATGGTCATTATCGAATTGGGTTAAATTTTAGCCAATTAGGAGTATTCAACAAGGCCTCTTTTGGGAGTCAAAGAGTATTTTTTTGGAAAATAAACTAATTCATGCTAAATTCTTATAAAATTCTTGCGTTTCAGAGGATATCTAAATTGAACTAACTAAAATTATTCAATGTAATCAAAGTGGGTCTCACGAATCACGATAAATTCAACCGTAGAGTTTCAACTTTCAAGTGCTGTGAAACAGGGAGTAATGTGCGTGCAGACATCAGGAATGTATAAAAGCACACCTTTCTCGCAGAAAGAATATACCAAAAAGAAGGGTAACAAGGCATCGGAAAAAGGCTACTAAGCAAATGGTTCGGATAGAAAAGGACTCAACACAGACCTTCAGAATAATCTTAAATGATTAATAGACACGAAAATAGTAGAAATATAACAAACATGTAAAGCGCATTGAAGATATCTAGAACTTGGAATAAACATTTAAAAACAATCGCTTGAAGTTGTAGATGAATCAATCAATTTCAGCTGCAATAATAATACAATACATCAGGTTCCTAAGAACAACTGTCCTAATGACTCGAAAATGAGTGAACTATTCATGCAAGATCAAAACAAGCTTATCCTACCTACCTGATGGTCTTCAATGTAGCAGCAGATCGAACATTTCTAAACACTAAGACATGGTGGAACAATAGCAGAAATGTTTGTTGAGAAGAACACCGTACTAAAACAAAGATTAATTCGGCAACAAAAAAACCCAAACAGCGCCTAACAAACTAGAAGCAACAATTGATAACACAAGGGAACCAAAACAAACCACAGCAGAAGGCACAACTTGACCGCCAAAATATGCCATATATTATGTCTCATGAAAGGTATCCAGGTGTATAAGTCTCGGGGCAAAGAGAGCTACCAAAACGACATATCATCTCTGAACTCCACATAACAAGTGTCATATGACAATAATAACCAAAATCATAATTCCAGAACTTAATGTAATCTACTAAAACTTCATCAATCATAAATTCACTGCGTCACACCAAGCCACTTCGAGAAATTCTCAAACTCTGTGTAGTCACTGTCAGAAATCATGGTTTTGTACCATGCCTTTCCAGCAGCCTTGATCTTAGAAGACTCCTCCTACAAGATTAGTATATAAAGTAAAAGTGAGATTCCAATAAGATAAGTAATATTAACAACCAAGTATTAACAGTCCAGGCAATAGAAGGACATAAAGCATGACATAATAAGCACAAGAAACAAAGGAACTAGCATTACAGCCAAGTTGATTGAAACCACCAACCTCCATACATGAATATCAACATGACAGGACTAAACACAAAAATGAATACAACATGGCTGAACAAACCAAAACCATACACAAAATGGGACGACAAACCAGAATCAATGAAAACGTCATACTAAACAAATATGAAGAAAAATAACTACAAATTAGACCTAATGTAACCAATAAACAACAATGTGTAACATTATACAAAATAGCACCATGACATAAACTAAGCTGAACAAGAAAATCACTTAACCAAAGATAAACACATTTGTCACATAAGAAAATGAACGCGATAAATTTGAGTAAAGCATCACAATAATATGTTACAAATATATGAATCTAAGAAACAATCGTCGTAGTATCATACACGTCCCTCACGGAACTAAAGCAAGTTACAACTTAATGAAATAATCAGCTTGAACCATTCACAAAATGCAGCATAAAACTATCAATCGAAGCAATTTGGCGCAACGCATTTAATGAAAGACGGTATGAAACTACTGCAGTAGGACACAATTGACTACAACCACCATCTCACCATTGCTATGATGCAACACCAAAGCATTATACCCTATATATAATATAATAATACTGCGGAAATCGAAAGGGTCGACATACCAAGTAAAAGAAACAATGCATGAACAAAGATGGATAGTCATTATTGATATAGCTAACACATTATAGCATATATGATCACACAAAAACTATACAATTAATCACATACAAATCATAAAAAGCTGTGATGTGATAATATTATGATTTACGAATATAAGACAACTAGCATAGGAATGGATGATCATACCGGGCTGAGCTTGGTCCTCTTGGAGTCGAGCTTCTCAGTCCTGGCCTTGACACGCGCAGCCTCAGCGAGAGCTGCCATCTTGCGCGCAGTGCCGAAGTAGGGGTTCAGCTTGAGCACAGCGGCCACATTCTTCAGAGGGTTCCTTCTCGCCTCCCTGAGCTTCACCTCCTTGTTGATGGGCTTCACCACCGACTGGACCTCATCGGAGTTGATCAGCCTGGACAGGTCGGCATTCGCCATCTTCGGCCTCGGGAGCACGAAGCCCTTCTTCTTCAGCGCCGGTGTGTCGAAGCCACCATACACCTCGTCGAGCTTCTTGAACGCGCACTCGGTCCAGATCACGAAGCGGCCAAGGTGGCCACCAGGGGCAAGGTCGAGCAGGTTGAGGCGCTCCACATTGGCAACATCAACGCCGGGGAGGTTGCGGAAAGCCTTGACGACCTTGGAACCCTCGGTGCCGTAGACGATGAGGGGGCCCTTGCGATTGATGTACCGGCGGTTGCGCATCTTCCCCTTGCCAGCGCGGATGGCCACCGAATCCTTGGTCTTCTCGGCATCAGCGTAGGCACCAATCTGCTTGAGGACCTTGATGGACTGCGCAGTCTTCTCGATGGACTCGATGGAGTCCGAGACGACGAGCGGGAACTCGGGGACGCCCTCGATGCGGTGGCCGCGGGCGAGGACGAGGGACGGGACGGCGGTGGCGGCGAGCGCGGACGCGACGGCTATGCGGCGGAGGCGGATGTTGACGCGGCGGTGCCAGCGGCGCCAGATCTTGGTGGGCGCGAACATGCGCCCGCCGCGGCACATGTTGCCGAACGCGCCCTGCCCCGCGCGGTGCGTGCCGCCGCCGGGGACGCGCGGGATGCGGGACACGGCGCGGCCCGTGCCCCACGACTCCGCGGAGGTCTGGTGCCCCGCGCGGCGCGACACGGCGTACGGCTGGCGGCGGTTGCAGGAGAGGAGCTTGTGGGTGAAGGTGACCACGTCGGGGCGGATCGGCGCGCGGAGCACCTGCGGCATCTGGATGCCGGCCGAGTCCGTCGCCATGTCGCCCTCCAGGGCCTTCACGGACACCAGGGGGCGCGCGGCGGCGGCCATTTCCGGCGGCGGCGGCGGCGGCGAGGTGGATAGTGTAGTGGCTCGGGCGGCGGCGAGGGAAGGAGAGGGCGGCGAGAGAAGGAGACGAGCTTATATCTGTCTAGGGGCGTAGTGGCTAGGGTTTGGGTTTGGAATTAGGTGAGATCTGAGCCGTCGGTTTAGATTGGACGGTTGGATCTTTGTCGTGGGTTGGGCTGGGCCTGTCCTTTGTAGTTCTCTCTGAGTTGGGCCCGGTGGTTTCGCATCTTCTTCTTGGCCTCGTTGTCTCCCGAAAATTTGATAAATTAATTCTTTTAAAAATATATTTTTAAAATAGACCATGTCAAAAACTACTATTTGTAGAGATGGACAGTTTCTCAACGCCAAAGTTCGATAGTGCTGAAATATACTCCCTCCGTCCTAAAATATAAGTATTTTAGACTTTGACACAGTCTTCGAGATGCTACTTTAACCAACAATATCTATAAAAATAAAATGGTTTAAATAAAAAGAGTTGCATATATTAAGACGTTTTTTCACATATATATTAAGACATGAGCAATAAATTGAAATGTTGGGATCGCAATATATATATTATAATTGAAAAAGTTAATGAAAATCTTTC